GCATAAATAATTTAGCCTATAATTATATTATTAAATTTTTTAAATCGTGTATATTACTAAATTAGGTATAAATCTTAGCATGCGATTTTTAAGGGAGTAATATTTGTTTCCATGAGATTATTAAGGGAGTTCTTTGTGTGCGGCAAAAAAAAAAGATTTATTTGGATTTTGATTCCATATTTTTGATTGTATACTTAAAAAATAAAAAGTAAAAAAATTGAATAAAACAGATATGCTAATAAATAGAGATTTTATTAATTTACTAATTTTAGGCAATAATCAATACAATTGGCGGGAAAGTGTTTCTAAAAATAAATTATGTTAGTCTTTATTATATATTAATAGATTTTAGTAATTTTATTCTTATCTATACTTATATTATATTACGTGATCAAATATTTCCATACAAGTTTTATTTCTATACTTAGAAATAAAACTTGTATGGAAATATTTGATCACAAATATGTTCTTATTTTTTTTTCAAGTTGAGCGTGTATTTTTATTTTATCTCAGATTTCTTTGTTTCTAAAATTCCATGTTATTAAGGAAATAAATCACGCTCTCTCTTTCACAAATAAAAACAGATTTACAACTAAGATAAATAATGCGTCTCATAGTACTATGCAAGGAATAATTTTTAATTATCTATACTTATATTAAAGGGGATCCTATTTACTAAATATAGTAGGTAGAAAAGTCAAACTTAATTAATGAACTTCTAATTTTATCAAGTAGTAAGTAATGCATTTATAATTCATGCTGACATAAAAAATCCTTCTTATTAACATAAAAAATTTTGTACGTAAATCCCATAAAAAAAATCTTTCTTATAAATTTATGCTGAATTTCTAAATTTTAATCTTTCTTATCTTGACATAAAAAATCCCAAGAAATCGGGTGAGCAAAAACAATCAAACTCTATACTTATATAATAAGGTATCATATTTACCAAATTTAGTAGGTTAAAAAGTCAACGTAATTAATGCATTATTATTTCTATCCAGAAATTTACTTAATTATTTTATTTATTTGTCTTATATCCCATAAGATCAGTTTAAGAAAAAATTTCTCATAACATATGATAAGTAAAAAAAGACGTAAAATCTTTACCAAAATAAAAAGGCTTTATTTATTTGTCTTATTCCATATTAACATCGATTTTTTCAAAACAAATCCCATAAAATCGGTGAAGTCAAAATTTGTACGTAAAGTCTATCTATACTAAAAAAAGGCAGATTCAAAATTCCTTATTTAGTTCCTTCTTTTCCTTATCTAATTCCTTCTTATTATCTAATTGTATGGAAATCTATTCTGATTTTGTTCAATTCTCTAATTGTATTTGTATTATAACCCATAAAATCAGTTTAAAAAAAAATCCCATAACATTTGATAAGTAAAAAAAATACGTAAAATCTTTACTAAAATAAAAAGGCTTTATTTATTATCTAATTGGATAGAAATCAGTTCTGATTTTGTTCAAACTGATTTTTGTATATTCAAATTTAGATTTTCTAATAAAAGTATAAACAACAATATATATCTACTCTATCCATTATAAATTACAAATCTCAAAATATCGAGTCATCATCTTCCTTACTATCAACCTACTGCGAACAAAAAATATATTCCCAATCATTATTTTATTCAAAACAATGAATCAAGGATTTGGGTTAATCAAACAAGTCAATAGGTCTAATAGACCTATGCTCAAAGTTCGAATTGTGAGAATGTTTTTCCAAGACTGGGGCAGCACATACAAATCATATCTCGAGTTGGTTCTGCATGATAAAACTGTAAGCCAAGTTTTGAATTTTTGTTTTAATTTCGAAATTTGAAACGTATATAATTTTTTTCCGTGTATGTATTTAGATATTTTGTACATTTTTGGTGAAATATATTTTCAATTTTTTTTTTAAATTATATTTTCAGATTTGCAATTTGGTTTATTTATTCCACATATCGTGTATGTATTTAGATATTTACATTATTTATATTTATTTTCGTGTATTGTAAAACTTTTATTGAATATTGTATCTTATAGTATAATAATCCTCAAATAAATATATCCCGTGCCTCGCACATGTCACGTACTATATATATTCCGTATATTTTTCTTTATTCATTTATATAATTATAATGCTGGATAAATGACTTTAAAATTATGCACCCCGTGCATCGCACGGGCTCTGTACTAGTTATATCCTAAAAATGAAATGCTCTTTTGATGTAAGGATATGCATTAAATGCTAAAAAAACGGGTGTATTTTGTCTTTCTACAATAAATTGGATATTTTATTTATAAAACAAGTAATAAAAAATCAGCAATATCAAGAATGTGGAGGAATGACTTGATATATAATATAAAAAAAGAAATTAGAAATGCCTAGGACAAAAATTTGAAAAGGAAACGAGTATCAAAATTATATACGAAACATATTTACATTTATATATATAATTTGCTAGCACAGAATTTAATATAACTCCTTTTGTTTTTATGCATTTTTCAGTTACTTTTGTATTAATCAAGCAATTATTTTTTATTTTATTATATAATTGTTACTATTAATTAATAATAAAGTAACATTAAATGTTATTCTATTCTCTAGTTTTTTTCAAACTAGTTATTTATTTTTATTTTTATTTTCCAACTCATTAAGCAAGTTTTTTTTATTATTAAAATTAGTAACTTAATTTTATGGTATAAGCAAATTTCGTGCACAATTGCTATAAATAATTTTTTTAATATTGTATTATCCATTAATTGGTCATAATCAGCTAAGATTGTATCAATATAAAGATTAATATGCAAGTCAAAAAATTTATATTTAGATGTTCATTTTTTTTTTTTTTTTTTACCAATGATAAAATTTATAAAAATGGGATTTTCGCATTATCTAATTTATGATTTTAAATATTACATAAACACATGTAAGTTGATGCCGACGAGGTTGCATTGACATATCTCGACAATTATGATCGTCTCGTCTCATTAGTTTAAGATTTATAGTTAATAGTTTTATTCTTATTTTTATTATTATGTTATTTAATATTTAGTAGCATGGAGATCGTCTCGTCTCGACTCTTTTGCTTTAGTATTATCCAGTTGATGAATGAAATAAGATTTTGAATCGATTGAAATATCGTTTTATCCTTCTCACTGTACGCGCTTCCCCTACATCAATTGAAATTTTTTTTTATCCTTCTCACTGTATGTTTCCCTTACATCAATAAACGCAGAATATTTTATTTATATTTGTGTATATACACATGATCAAACACTAGTTAACTATTAATGGAGAGAAATATAAATAAATTCATACTTGCACATTAATTAATTATGCCCAGTACGTTGGATAATAATAAATAAGCATGTGGCTTATTTTGGAACATTTTTTTTTAGTACAATAAAGGGGGGCCGAAGCCTAATAACTACGAGGACAAAACACGACGGGGATAACCATCCCAATGAGATCATGTTCGAGCCACCGGCCTAAGGACGGAGGTGGTAAGGGCAAATGGTGCACACCAAGTGGTTGAGATGCCGCTAAGGAAGCCAGATGATCGGCAGTGAAATTCGCTTCTCGAAACACATGCACAAGGACCACCGACCAGTCGCGATCCCGTAGTTCTCGTATTGCCCTAACGAGACTACCATGAATACTACTCACCTCTTTTGTTCCCATAACCATGCTAATCACGCTACTATTGTCCACTTTCGCCACCACCTTACGAGTACTCAAATTCCACGGTAAAAATTTAAAATTGGTCCTATAATTGCTCTAAGTTGTTCAAGAATAGTGGCGTTGAGTCTCTCGACCCTTTGACTTAGGATTCGTCAGTTCTATTTCTCGATGGGGCAGGGATATAACTCAGCGGTAGAGTGTCACCTTGACGGCCACTGTCCAAAAAATCACCTCTATATTGACCACTTTCAATTTAGATCCTATAATTTGTCGATTTCATCAATTTTGGTCCTTTTTTATCCGTACCCTGGATTAAGAAGTGACGTGGCATTAAAAAAAGACCAAAATTGATGAAATCGACAAATTATAGGACCAAAATTGACGTGCCACATAGATCATAATCACGCCATGTAACCTTAAAAAACTGACACGTCATGCCACGTCACTTTTTAATCCAGGGTCAGGATGAAAAGGACCAAAATTGATGAAATCGACAAATTATAGGACCTAAATTGAAAGTGGTCAATATAGGGGTGGTTTTTTTGGACAATGGCCAAGTTATAGGACCAATTTTGAAATTTTGCCCAAATTCCACGCAAGAGATAGCCCATGAAGGAGACCCCACAGTTCGGCTCCGGTAATGGAGCAAATACCAACATTCATCATAAACCCTCCGAGCCAGCGGCCAAGAGAATCACGTATCAAACCTCCCGCAGACCCATAATTCGTATGGGATGAAAACGCCCCATCCGAGTTGACCTTAACCCATTCCGGCTGAGGCAAGGACCAATGTATTAATAATCGAGTTTCGTATTGTCGGGCTAGGGAACCAACTT